CCGCGGCTGCTCTGCTCCGCGCCGCTCAGTTCGGCTCCGCGCCGACCCGCGCCTCTCTCTGGACCGTGCCCTGCCGGTGCCGCCCCGCCCCGCCCGGCCCCGCCCCGCGCACCTCCGATGTGTTCCCCTCTAGCAAGCCTTCCTCTGCTCCTGGTCCACACCGACACCGGCATAGCCAGGCAGCCCAGCCGCAGGAGTAGTAGGGCCCGCCACCGGTGGCGCCCGAACGACTGCCAAATTCTCCCCCCGTTCCAGGTCGCTCCAGCTCCAGCTTCACGGCTCCAGACAGAATGCACCGGCGAGGGGCACTTGCAAGAGAAGTCGCGACGACCGATTGACGTCGTCCGGTCCGGTGCGACCAGTCTCTCAGGTTTACAATCGGATTCCTACGTCATTGCGCGACATCGCCGTGACGTCCGGACCCGGACGGACGACTTAAGGATCGATTTCATTAATTGTGGCGAGCGGGGTGGCGGCGCGTTGCGACGCGTGGCGCAGAGGGCCTCCCCGGCACGCCACGCCACGCCACGCCACGCCCCGCGGCGGATCCGATCCCTGACCTGCGCCAACGGTCCGAGCGCGCGTTGTTCTTGTTGGCGGGAAGACTTGAAAAAGCGTCGTCGTCGAAAAGTCTTTTACTACTCACCTCTGATAAGAAGGTCTGTGCAGCCTTTTGAGCTCCTACGTGTAATAAGTACTCGTAGACGTATAACGCTAACCTGCAACAGACAGACAAGGACGAGGAAGATTAGAGAACAGCACACACACGGAGGCCATGGAGAGAGAGGTCACGTCAGCAGCGAAGGGGAACAACACACACTAATCGCTGGTCATTCATTCCAGTGCGATCGCGTCTGCCAGCACATGATGATGATGGACTGGGTGCGCATGATGGCATGCGCGCGATGACAGACGATGTGTAGGAGGGGGGGGGGGGATCCAAGAGAAAGGCAGATAAGACCTGTCACCGCACCCAGCAGCTGTTCGCTGACGCGGCGCCGGCCGTGTGCCACGGAAAGCAAAGCCGGTCGTGCTGCTCACTGACAGCTGCACACACACGCACACACACACACACACACACACACACACACCAGGCGCGGTGGTGGTGCGGTGTAGTCAGTCAGTGGCAAATCAGCTGACTGCTGTTTACCAGCAGCAAGCTGCGGCTTGCGGAAGGGGCGGCCGCCGCGGCCTGCCCTGGGTCAACGAGTACTAGCGCCCCGCCGCCGTCGTGTCGTGTCGTCGCTCTCGAGGGGGGAATGACATGACACCCGCCGCCGGGTGTGTTGTGGTGCGAGTGATATGCTTCACAGAGAGGCGTCGTCAGGGGTGTCTTAAGCCCCAGCATCGTCGCAGGGCTGAGATTTCAGGAGACGTAGAAGACGACCAGCAAGCAGCGTGATGTCTTCACGTGTTCGAATCCATGAGAAAGACGAAGGAAATGAGGAGGGACACGGCGGAGGGGGGTGGGGGGGGGCACAAATCCACTTGTAGACAATATGCAACACACGAAAATTAATTGTACGTCTAGATGTTGCAATTGTTTTCAAATTAATGACATCTATCAACTTGTGCCATAGCATATCAAGATATTATGCTTAAATATTGACACACTGTCAAATAAATTTAAACATAGGTAACCATTTCAGATTTTGTTTTTTGGACTGAATGAAAAGAAACTAAACCAATGGATTTGAACAACTAAAC